TTAATTGTTGCCCTATATAAACCTACAAGATCACCATAGAAGAAAACATTCTTGATGTTGAAATGGCTAGTGACAAATAGCAGCCATATTTTTACTTCTCCATGTTACTAGATTTCCCTATAGAAACATACAATAGCCCAAAGTAGACCGTCGGTCAGTCCCGGATCCAGCATAATCGGCGTTTGTATAAACTACTAAGGATAGTTTTCCTCCTCTCTGGAATAATAATCCTCTGCCTAGTGTGCCTTTTAGATATTGGAGAATCCTGTCCACTACTTGCAGGTGTTTTTCCCTCAGATCATGCACGAATTAGCTAACAATACTAACTGCATAAGCTAGATCAGGTCTAGTATAAGCCAAATATATCAATCTTCCCACCATTCGTTGATAAAAAATTATAGAAGTTTAGGCATAGATGAAGGAGAAAAGATAGAGAGAATAATAGATGCTGAATATTATATGTTATGAGGTAATTGATTGGATTACAAAGGACAAAGAACTAATTCCTATTTATACTTGTTAGAATAGTTATTAGAATAGTTTAGTGTATATAATAGAATAGTCCCACATCTTGTGGGCATAACCCATTAGGTCTTTTAGTCTCCTTAAATAAAGAGCTCTTGTATATTGTAACATACAATGATTCAATATACCATTATTTTATTATTCACTCTCAAGTTGGTATCAAAGCTGGTTGTTTTGGAGACCCTCGCTTCCGCTAAAACCCTAAGCCCACTGCTTAGGTATTCTTTTATACTTTGTCGTGCGTCCTTCCGGCAAGTCTTCCTCTACGCCGTGCATCCCTCCAGCTTGTGTTCAGGTACTGTTCATCGTGTCCGTACAAGTACTGTTCACCGCGCCCCCGTACTGGTACTGTTCACCGCGTCTGTATGGGTACTGTTCACGCCTATACAGTTACTGTTCATCGCTGGAAACACGTGTTCCTTCTTGTTCGGCTATCCGGTTAACCCAATTTACTTTGTTCTGCAAGTTTTTATTGCGTTCGTAATGGCAGAATCATCTCCTGCTCCTGATTCACCTTCTGTTGTTTATTCCACTTTCCACTGCTCTTGTTTCCCATACTAACTCTCGCAGGAACAGTGGATGTAGTCAAAGACCTCGTTGTAGCTATTGTCAACAACTTGGTCATTATGTTCTTACACGAAGTATCCTCACCTGCGACCTTCTTATGCTGCGAATATAGTTCAGTCAAATACTCCTTAATCTGGTTTAGTCTCTCTCTCCTGCAAACTATGCAGCACTCCAGACTCTTCTTAAGAAGGCGTTTCCTCAGTCTCATCCTTCTGCTCTAGATATTGATAATCCTGTTGCTTGTGTTTCTCATTCTACATCACTTGCCCCTTGGATATTTGACTCAGGTGCTACCGATCATCTCTGTGGTAATAAGGAACTATTTACGTCTCTTACTTATTCTGATCATTTACCTTCTCTTACCCTTGCTGATGGAACCAAAACCCCAGTTCATGGGATTTTAAAAGCTCACCTGACCTCTATCTTGACCTTGACATCTGTCTATTACATCCCTGGCATCCCTTATAACTTAATTTATGTTAGTAAATTGGTCCACTCCCTCACTTGCACCATTATTTTCTCTAACCATTTTGTTTCTGTGCAGGATCCGAGTACAGGGAAGACGATTGGAGAGGATCGCGAATCACTGGGGCTTTATTATCTGGTTGTACCTCATCCTACAATGGCATGCTCTCTCACAGAATCTCCACAACTTATCCACAGTCGCCTCGATCATCCAAGTCTTTCAAAATTACAAAAGATGGTTCCTATTTTATCTTGTATTCAATATTTAGATTGTCTGTCGTGTCGGCAAGGGGAGCACACACGCTCCTCCTTTACCAGTCAAGTCGATAAACGAGCTGATGTTCCTTTCTCTCTTATTCATTCGGATATTTGGGGTCCAAGTCGTACTTTGTCTGTTTAAGGTTTTCAGTATGTTGTTACTTTTATTTATGATTATTCCTGTTGTACCTGAGTTTATTTAATGAAAAATCATTCTAAGTTATTCTCCATTTATAAAAAGTTCTCTTTTGAGGTTTATACTCAATTTGGTGTTTCTATTCGTATTTTACGTAGTGATAGTGCTAAGGAATATGTTTCTTTTAACTTTTCTAATTTCTTGGCTTCACAAGGTACTTTACACTAGACCACTTATCCTCACACCTCACAACAAAATAGGGAGGCCGAACGTAAAAACAGACAACTCATTGAAACTGCTTGTACCCTTCTTATTCACACGAAGGTTCCTCTTCACTTCTGGGCGGATGCCGTACTAGCCTCTTGTTTTCTCATCAATCGCATGCCTTCCTCTGTGCTTAACAATGACATTCCCTATAACCTATTGTTTCCATATGCTCCTCTTTATCCTCTATCTCCACATGTCTTTGGTTGTGCCTGTTTTGTTCACGATCACACTCATGGTAAGGACAAGTTAACATCCAAAGCCTGTAAGTATATTTTTCTTGGCTATGCTCGTCTTCAAAAGGGTTATAGTTGTTATTCTCATGATCTTAAGCGTTATATTATTTCCGTGCTATCACTTTTCTTGATCAACAACCCTTTCATTCTAACCCATCTCAGTTGGCACAGGTTTATCAAGTTTTTCTTGTTCCCTTTCTTGACTTGTCTTTACCAGCTGCAGGTGACTCTCTTCCAGAGAAAAGTGCCTCCATCCCTGAGGATCATCCTTTTCTCGCCTACCAGCGGCGTCAGAAAGTGCCTCCTGCGGACTTGACCCTGGATGACTTATCGCATTCTCCTGTCACCTCATCCCCTCCGGCTCTTACACCAAAGGCTCTTCCCATTACCCAAAGAAAAGGTATACGTACTACTCGTAACCCTTATCCTCTTTATACCATTTTAAGCTATGACCGTCTTTCTATTTCTCATTTCACTTTTGTTTCTAGTCTTTATTCTATTTCTATTCCTAAGACCACAGGTGAGGCACTTTCCCATCCAGGGTGGCGCCAAGCGATGCTTGATGAGATGACTGCTCTTCATTCCAATGACACTTGGGACTTTGTTTCTTCTCCTCCAGGAAAGTCTATTGTTGGTTGCCGATGGGTCTTTAATGTCAAGGTTGGGCTTAATGGCCATGTTGTTCGTCTCAAGGCGCGCTTAGTTGCCAAGGGTTTTACTCAGATTTTTGGTCTTGACTATAGTGACACGTTCTCTCCTTTTGCTAAGATGGCGTATGTCCGCGTGTTTCTTGCCCTCGCTGCTGTTCGTCACTGGCCACTCCTTCAACTAGATATTAAAAATGTTTTTCTTCATGGTTTTACAAGAGGTTTACATGGAGCAACCACCTGGGTTTGTTGCTAAGGGGGAGTCTAGGAAGGTATGCAGACTTCGTAAGTCTTTATATGGCCTCAAGCAGTCTCCTCAGGCATGGTGCAGCCGTTTCAGTTCTGTCGTTCAGGCTTTTGGCTTAATCCGCAGTACGGTCGATCATTCTGTGTTTTATAGGTTCACATCTCCCGACAAGTGCATATATCTGTTAGTTTATGTTGATGACATTATTCTCACCGGAAGTGATCAAGCTGGGATTCACCAGTTAAAACAATATTTGTTCAGTCAATTTCAAAAGAATGATCTTGGCAAGCTTCATTACTTCTTAGGGATTGAAGTGGCACAGTCTAGACAGGGAATTTCTATCTGTCAAAGGAAATATGCCTTGGATATCCTAGAGGAGACTAGTATGTTAGGGTGTAAGCCGGTTGATACACTCATAGATCCTACTATCAAATTACTACCCAGACAGGGAGAGCCATTATCTGATCCTGTACGTTATCGGAGGTTGATTGGGAAGCTTAATTATCTCACTGTGACAAGGCCGGACATTTCTTTTGTTGTTAGTGTGGCTAGTCAGTTCCTTGACTCCCCTTGTAATTCTCATTGGGATGCTGCTGTGAGAATCCTCCAGTACATCAAAAGAGCACCAGGGAAAGGCTTATTATATTCAGATCAGGGAAATACAGAAATTTGTGGTTATTCAGATGCCGATTGGGCAGGATCACCTTCGGATAAGCGCTCTACTTTAGGCTATTGCGTCTTCTTTAGAGGAAATTTGATTTATTGGAAAAGTAAGAAACAAATTGTTATTGCCTGCTCTAGTGCAAAGACCGAGTATCGTGCAATGGGAGTTGCTACCTGCGAGCTAATCTGGTTAAAGGAGTTGATTCGGGAGCTCTATGTTTGTGAACAGAAACAAGAAACAGCCTATGACACTCATTTGTGAGAATCAAGCTGCGCTACATATATCATCTAATCCTGTATTTCATGAGAGAACTAAACATATAGAGATCGATTGTCATTTCATTCGAGAAAAGATTTAGTTAGGAGAAATCAAAACTGCAATTGTCAACTCCAATGATCAACTCGCGGATGTCTTCACTAAAGCTCTTAGAGGTCCTCAGGTTGAATACAGTTGTGGCAAACTGGGTGCTTACAATATATACGCACCAACTTGAGGGGGAGTGAGTGTTAGAGTAGTTATTAGAATAGTTCAGTTTATATAATAGAATAGTCCCACATCTTGTGGGCTTAGCCCGTTAGGTCTTTTAGTCTCTTTAAATAAAGAGCTCTTGTACATTGTAACATACAATCATTCAATATACCATTATTCTATTATTCAATCTCAAGTATACTAAACAGGGGACTCCTAAAATAAGAAAACAAATCATAAAAGAAAAAGGGAAACAAATCCTAAGAGATCCTCTACAATTTCTAAAATATATTAAAATATACTCTTAATATTATTGATATCTTTTAAATATTATAACATTTACATTATTTACATATTTTCCAATATTGGTAAAAAAGACTTCACATAAATCCATGCACTGCTCTATAATTTATATATTAAAAAATTGAGTTATTGGCCATGACTAACTAAAATATAAGTTTGCAACTTTGGTAAGCAAATCAAGAACATCACAGCTTAGCAACTTCAATGTCATAAATACTACCTCAGCTTTTCTCTGCAACTTTGAATCACCTTCAGCCTCAATACCATCCAGTTTCAGCAATTGACTCATAAGCAACTCTGTCAACACAACAAACTCTTTCTCAGAAGCTTTGTTCCCCCCACTGATAGCCAATTCCAAGGCAGCCACCTAAAATTTAAAATAAATCATATGATCATTCTCCAGATAATATGTTTTTACAATTAGTAGAGTAGTTATATTTCAAACACATACTCACCCTATCTGAGAGCTTGTCCACCTCAACTCTGATCCCAGCAATAGCTTCAGAAGCTTTACAGATCTCATTATGTTTTCTGGTTTCCTCAAGTTTCCTCTCTTTGCTAGCAGTGCCCTCCAAAAGTAAAATCTTTGATTTGTTCTTCACACCTTCGTGGTGCAAATGCTCTCTATCATTCTTTTCTATCCCTCTGAAGAAAAGTCGTTGCTCTTCAGGCTCTAAACCAGTTTTTTGCACAAGCAATTTCTTAATATCCCCTGTTATTCAAAACCCATATAAGACAAAAACATATATCAATAACAACAGAATAATTATTTCCACGCTACTATATGCCAATATTAAGACAAATATCATTTTCCTCAAGCATATTGCAGAACAAGAAAAAATCAATATCATAACAAAGGACAACTTTAATTTGGTATGAAGTATAAACACAATAAGAAAATAATATTTTCCTTCCTTTTCTATTCCTTTGAAGGAGGGCAAGCCTTGGAGCAAGTGATAAGGTTTCTCTTTTGTGACCGGAGAGTCACGGGTTCGAGTCTAAGAAATTGCAAAATTTAAGGGCCTCGCAAAGCAAGGGACCTTTTGTGCACTGAGATTTTCCCTTCTTTCCTTCGAAGAAGAGTCAAAGCTCCTCAGGCGCTAAACCAATTTTTAATGAGAAATAAATTTCTTAATATACCTATTATGGAGGGCCAAATTAAGACAAACATATATACCATTGACAACAGTGTATATACTTGTTAGGTACACGGGAAAGGAGTGTGATAAGCATGATATGGATTAACATTGTAACAACCTGCTCACATGACAAGTCGGGCAGAATCAGTTACTCTTAAGTGGAGTGGGATAAAAAGGAAGGGGTGGAGAGGAGGGGGACAAGCAAGAATTAAGTGTGGGATTGGATTAGAGTTTAAAGCTCTCGAATGACCAGTGGTATCTTTTCTTTTCTGTATTCAGTGCTTTCATTAGCTTTCTATTTGTTGTGAGTGAGGAAGAGACTATTTCTCTGAACCTGCTTTTGTGATTGGGAAGAATAAGGCTCCTCTAAAGTGAGCAAGCAAGAATGCATTCACCCTTGATTCAATTCAAAGTGCATTGTGATCTCAATCCACTAATTTCAGTTATAAGAGCTTTTCTCAAATGGGAATTACTCACACTTTTCTGTAATCAAAATACCTGGGTTCATATCAATATTCTAACTAGTGTATGTCACGACTACGTCAAGTACCAACTTCCTCAAATATGTTCCAGAATCTAGAAGAAATAATCAATATCATGATGCATGATAAAACTTTAATCCGGTAGGAACATAGTATGAAAAGAAATCAGACTAGACTACTAGTTTAGTCAATGTATTTTGTTTCAGGTCCCCAAATTTTCAATAAATCCACTCCCCAAGAAGTGATAAGTATAAACTGAAAATTTGTTTGCAATTCTTCTTTCCCTGGGAATACCTCGGTAAAAAAGTAGTTATAAACTAATAACTATAAAACAACATTTTAGCTCATTTTCAACATGCATGAAATGGCATCCAACAAGTAAATTACAAACAACTTCACACAATTAAAGTCCAGGAACCAATTTGAAACTAAAGGAAAACTATAAAAACCTGTCATTTGCTGCTGATTCTGTCATTGAGAAAATAAAATTAAATGCACAAGTGGGCATAATACTAGTTTATACCATATGCTAACCTTTTCAAATAATAAAGTTTTTAACTGAAAACCTGTTAAAAGGAGTTAGAATATCTAGAAGATATCTTATAGATATTCTAACATGTTTAAATTATAGGGATTTAGATATAGAGAGAGAAAAGGGAATGAAAACTGAATAATATTCTATAATGACTTGATATGAAGTGATACAAAAGACAAAGCATTAATCCTCATTTATACTAATAGTAGACTCCTAATATAAGAAAAAAAATCATTAGTTATAAGGAAATATATAAATCAATCCTAAAAGATCATCTAGGATACCCTAAACTACTGGTATCTTATGATTGGTTTCCATATTTTCCTTATATCTTTTGGTTTGGTCCCTTATTTTTGCTAACTACTATCTACTTAGGGATGTGCAAAATAACCAAAAAACTAAACCGAACCGAATTGCACTCAAAAAAACAGGATTTTAAAAACCAGCTCATGAACCGAACCAATTTTTACCAAACCAGTTCATTAACCGAACTGGTTTTTAAAACCAGTTCAAAAACCGAACCGAACCATTTTCGAACCGAACCGAACTGCTTTTTATTACTTTATTTCTTTATTTTTTTTAATGTTTTTTCTTTTCAGAAGAAGGTCGACCCGAACCAATTCTAAATCAAACCGAAACATTTCCAACCGAACTGAACCATGTTCGAACCGAATCGAACCGAACTAGTTTTGAACCGAATCGAACCGGTTTTGAACCGAACCGAACCAGTTTTGAACTAAACCAAACCGTTTTCGAACCGAACCGTTTAAACCAATTCGGTTCGGTTTTTTAAAAATTTCAATTGAATTCGACCCATGCACACCCCTATATCTACTATTAGCATAAATAGGGATTAGTACTTTGTCTTTTGTATCACATCATATCACGTCATGATAGAATGTCATTCAATCTTCATTCCTATTTTCCCTCTATACTTAAATATATATAATTTCAACATGGTATCAAAGTGGTGCAGCAAAAGCATAGTGGGCCCATAACCCACAGGCCCACTATCCATGTGTCTACTTGGCAGTGCTCTCTCTCACAGATCCTCTCAACGGATTCAGACCTGCACATAAAATGCACGCGCAGACAGCAAAGACATTGGATTTTGAGGCTGTCTTGGACACGGCCTCATATGGAAGGCATGATATGCATGTAAGTTGGTCACGCTTGAATCATGCATACGCAATACAGCCCCATGCCAGCTCATATCTGATGATAGAAATAAATTAATTTTCAATTATTAATATTAAATGTTTTACCTACTCAGTCCCTTTAAATGCGGATTTTTGACCAGTGATGAAAAAAAGGTGAATGGAACCTGGTAGAATAGAATAAAAAAATTGAGATAGGGGCCACTCACTATAAGAGAGGCACTACTGAGCAGAGAAAGGGACAGCGGGGAAGAAAAAGAGACTGAGGCACAGGCAAAACAGCCTCCTCCGTGAAAACAGATAAGAGCTGAGAGATCTGAGCTTGGTTTCTTGGAGGAATTGGCTTTAAAAGAAGGACTAGTAGTGGAATGATGTCATCTGGAATTGAACTGGAAGTGATTGGGGCTCTGTTGCAGTTCTGGATTCATACTACTTCCTTCTTGTCGGCCCTCGCTGTGTGCTCCACTTGCTGTATGTTACTCTGCACTCTGATGCATAGGTTGAATCTTCTGAACTAGGCTGTTTTAATCTGATTGAGGCCAAAAAGGACTCATTATGGAGTCGAGTTTTTGGAGGCTTTTCACATGCAAAAAAATTCACAGCTGTTCTTGTTCTTAAGAGGAAATCTCACTGAAGATCTTGAGAGATTTTTTACCTTTTTTTGGTAGTTGTCCCTTAATTATTTTCCTCATTTATTTTTTGAGGTTTCCTGCAACATTTTCTGGATATTTTGTGGGGGGTTTTGGAGGTTTTTCCCAAATTCTTCCACCATGCCTGAGTCTCTGAAACAACCAGCGAATAGACTAAAGCAAAGGTCTCACCCCTTGCAAGAGTCCCAGATGCCAAGAAAATTACGCATCATGTATGACGATCCTGATGCTACTGATTCATCATCTGAAGATGAGGCAGAGTTGATTGTGAAGCCCAAAAAAACAAAACGAACCATTCTTGAGATGTCACTTCCCCCTGTTCCTGCCATCCCTATCTCCTCCGGAACTAGCTCGTGTGAGGAGAATAACAACAGCAATGCATTTAAGACTGGCATTGAGGGTCAGCCTCAAAACAGGAAGAGGGTTTCAACCCAAACCCCACCAAGGAGGAGGCGATCACCTGCGAAATACAGAGGTGTTCGGCAGAGGAAATGGGGAAAGTGGGCTGCTGAGATTCGTGATCCGTTTAAGAGGGCCCGTATCTGGTTAGGCACTTACGACACTGCAGAAGAGGCTTCCCAAGCTTACGAGGCAAAAAGGCTTGATTTTGAAGCTATGGCAAAGGCTCAAGCCCACAATAATGGCTCTTCTGCAGCACCCTTGGCTACAACTTCTGATAAGCATAACTACTGTAAATCTTCTGCTGCTGCAGCATCTGTAACAGAAAAGTTTTCTACTACTTTCGAGGACTTAGAGAGCATGTTCTCACGCACATCACCATCCTCTGTGCTTGGGTCAGATACCTTGGCTTTCAATTCAATTGAGAAGGGTAATATTTCCAGCAATGAAGCTGTTGAGGCCAGTGATTTGGTGGCTGAACTGGCGGGGTTGGAAATACCAGATTTGAATCTGTTGAAGAAGCCTCCACCATCTGCTGCTGCTGCTCCATCTGGGTCTGAGCCCATCCTTGGGCTTGATTTTGATTGGTTACCGTTTGATGATAATGGGGAAAGTTTTGATGATCTTGGTGGCCTGGAGGATATTCAAATTTGTGGGTTTGATGACAATGAGACTAGTAAGCTTCCTGATTTCGATTTTGGTGATTTTGGTCCTGATGAGTTTGCTGATTGGACTGAGGAACCCCGCAATAAACCTTGAACTTAAGTTTTGTAGCAACATGAGAATAAGACTTAGAGTACTATGTTATAAGTTCTGTTTTGCCTAAAGTTTTATTATAGTTTGGTGAGATCTGAGGAACTGCAAAATCAATTCCTGAGTGAGGGACTGGTTTTATGACTTGATTTTTATTGTTTGTTGAGGGAGATGTCAGATCAGTATGTTGTTAGAGAGAATCCTTTGGGTCTTCCCTGCTATTAGGGTCGTCCAAGGTTTCTCGAACCATAATATTAAGAAGTAATTTGAAAGTTCTTGTATGACAAAGATTACCTTCACACACCCTTTTCCTATGAGTGTGTGTACACCATGAGATTCACTACCATCAGATTTTGTCTCAATTCCATGCTAGCCTGTCAGGCTTTGTCCGAATTGCAGTCTGGCCCCTTCAGACTTTGTCCCAGCCGTTGTCAGTCCTTGTCCTAGTTGCAGTCAGGTCCCATTAGCCTAGCCCTGTTGGTCTTTGTCCAAGATGCAGTCTGGCACCATCAGTCTTTGTCTAGATGCATTCTGGCCCTGTGGGTCTTTGTCATAGATGCAGCCTGGCCCCATCGGTCTTCATCCCATATATGCATTCTGGCCTCAAACTTTCTCCCAGATCATATTGTTGGGTTATTTTTCCTTTTTAAAGGGTTCTTTTGTAATAAGCTTAAAGCTTAGTAATCTTTAGTTTGAGGGGGAGTGTTAGAATATCTAAAAGATATCTTATGATATTATGATTATATTTTAGAATAGTTTAGATTATCCTAGATGATCTCTTAGAATTGGTTTACATGTTTTCTTATATCTCATAATTTGTTTCCTTACTTTAGGAGTTTACTATTAGTGGAAATAGGGATTAGTGTTTTGTCTTTTTGTATCACTTCATATTATGTCGTTATAGAATATTATTCCGTCTTTATTTCATTCTCTCCCCCAATATCTAAATCCCAATAATTTCAACAAAAGCAATGCCTTAAATCCACTATATTTCTGAAAACCAAAAACATGCCACCAAATTACAGGAAGCAAGTGATTTTCTGATAGTCGGTTTTTCCTCTTTCTTAAGAGTTATTACAATGTTGTATTCCTTAGTTGGAATATTCATTCCTGCATCATAAATCTTACTAGTTACTTGCACTTTCTAAAAGCTAATGATGTTAGAACTCCACACTTTACAATTAACTATCTTATCACCAGTGATGAAGCCAGATGGGTTAGGGTGGGCGATCACTCCTCCCAAACTTCACTAATTCAGAATTAGTTATAAAGACCTTGAGAAAGAGTGAACAACCAATCCCATTATTGCATGGGGTCTCCATATCTTGGTCCCCTTACAAAGTTTTCTCACTCGCCATGGCTTATCACAACATTAAATATGAAGATTCTTATACAGATAAATAATTTTTTAAATGGAAACAGATAAATAGATTATAACTAAGTAGCTATACTATTGAACATCTTTTCAAGTAAAAGTAGAAACACTTCCTGAATTTGTGGCATGAAAGGAGTACATATGTTCTCACTAACTTTTATCAGCTGACTTGAAAGAACAGCGCTTGTTTCGGTAATAGAAGTTCAAAATAGGAAGGAAAGCAATGTCTAACCCTCTAGCCATGACAAATAACATATTTCATGTTTCAGCTCTCGACTAATATCATTACCACTCCCTAGTCATAATCCATTCGATAAGTGATCAGAGCCATACACATGACATGAATAGAAAAATGGAATAAACTATGATGATATGGCAAAATTTTCAGAATATACAGGACAAATGGATTTTGCAGAGAACTCAGATTTCCACATGGTAATAGACAATTGCAGCACCCTAGCTAGAGATAAGTTTGAAGGTTAAGGTAGTAAGGATTGAAATAAAGTCCCTATTTTTCCAACACCCGATACTTCTTATTCATATTTTCATATGTGAAGTCCAAATAAAAAAAATAAAAAAGTATGCTAACAACGAAATCAGGACTGCGGCAGAACCTACACGTATTCCTAATAGAACACATTAACATAGCCAAATATTCTTTTTGTCCCCAAGCATTCATCCTTGAAGAAAAATATCTCATCAGTGTAGCAATTACGTTCATCAGCATTTTCAGAGTTTCGAGGACCATTACATGAACTTTGTGACTATACCAAACCCACATAGTTTTCCAGTGAAAGTCTTTATTTTATTTTATTTTTAAAAAAAGCTACCAAAGAAATTTTACTTGCATGTAGGACATGATTCGGAAGGTCAAGAAACATCTTCAAAAATGCAAATCATATTTTTGAAGGAAGTCATATTAATAGAATTCCATACATGAAACATTTAAACATGTAAGACATCTAATGTATATGAAACCACTTCGCTGCATTGCATACCAACACGACACCTAAATAGAATTTCATACATAATGAAGATTCGTAAAGAAGTTCAATCTATGAAGACCTCAAACAAATCAAATGAAATTTAAAAGCAATCCATAAAGGAGGCCTCATGTAAATCAAATGATTTTCAAAACCAATCCGGAAGCCAAAAATTAAGGCAGTCAGAATTATTCAACGATTTGGTGCTCAAATAAATCTAAAAGATCAGATAACTAAGAAAATTGATAGCATCTCTACATAATGTTCTAGAATCTTCTAGAAGAAATCTCTGACGACAAAATTTGTGCTGAAACATTTTAAAAGAAGCAAAAAGATAATGATTGCACAGCTAGCCCAGTAAAAAATGGTTCAAGGACAAGCTCCATCTTGCTTAGCTATGTCAAAGTGCAACACACTATTTTCAAAAATTTCAACCAAAATATGATATTTTTAATCAAATACAAACAACTTCATATAAAGCAATAACTAACCCTCTACCTATGTCAATGTGCAACATAGCTCACTATATTCAAAAACTTCAACCAAAATATGATATTCTTAATCAAATAAAACCAACTTCAAATAAGGCAAACTCAAACATCCCACATACTCTATCAATTGAAGTTCTCTAATCTCAAACAATATCTTTCTATCACATACTAATTGTAGATTCACTTCACGAATTCCCCAACTAACATAACATCAACCCCAATTCCAGGAACTTATAATCACAAATAATCAGCATGCACACAAACAATCACACACGACAAATAATCAAATTCTCGAATAATGGATTGAAAGAGAAGAAACATCACCGAAAGTTGATTGGGCTGGAAGGTGGACCTCGTGGTGAGAGGAACCGTGAGAAACGTTGATCATGATCATGGGCCCACCGCCTCCGCCGCTCTCGGACATTCCGCAGGGCATCGTCTCTGGAAATATCTCGCCGGCTTGCGCCGGCGGCGAGGAGCCTGCAGGGTCTGAGGCGTTCTTCATCAAAAGGCGGTTTCGCAAAACGCAAAGAAAAGTTGTCGTTTCTGCTGAAGCAGTGGACTCAACTCAACTTCACCTGAAGCACAAGTTTGTAGCAGATTAGGAAAAAGAATACAGTAGAGAAGGGTTGGTACACGTCATCAACTTTTTAGTTCTTTTAAACCTAATTGGATATTAGATTGAAATAAAAATACGGTACTTCAACTTTTTTTTAATTAAAATCATGGATCCCATCCCATACCATGTAACATTCAATAGTTAAATATATTGACAGTTTGAAAATTCTTATATATTTACTTAAATATTTTATTTTAAAATGATAAAAGAATTAATAATATTAAAAAATATGAAACAAAGTTTTTCATATTCAAATTCGTCACATTTTTTATTTTAAATAATTCAATCAATGAAAATAAATGTCATTCTATTTTGTTGTATCTCTTTATGTGAATTTAAACTAATTTAATGAGCATATATAACCTAACTTTTACGGCTACTTTTTTATTATTTTGCATTAAAATTTAAAAACAATATTTTACTTTTTTTTAGTGAATAAATTAATTTGAACACGAAAAGAAACTAAAATAGACCTGGGTCATAGAGCAAAAGGGTAAATACTATTAGCATTCCAAAAAATTTCAGGTAATTAGACTATGATTTGTCCACAATTTGCTGAACGTTCAAATAACATAAAGCAAGCTCCCAAAATTTCTGGTATCAAAACGGATATTTATACTCTTCATTTTAAACCATTATTGAACTTTTGATTTTTATTTTGTACATAAGATTTGATCTCATCAAATCATATTAGGATAATGCTCCTTATTAGAGCAAGTAACTAGTGCCTCCAAGCCTCGTTCACCTTGTGCTTACATGCATGGACCCAAGCTCATGTGTTCAAAACACATGTCTTAGTCATTTTTTCTTGATATTATCACATAAGATCCATACTATCCAAAACCATGTATTAGTTCATGCCATTAAATATGATATAATAGTGTAACATATTAGGTTCCTTTAGCCACTGACATAATTAAGTTTTGTCCAATTAAATTTTTTTAATGGGTCCAACTCATTTAAAGACAACACAAAGTATTAGCAATACTTTGTGACCCTAGAACTAAATGAAAGATCAAGTGATCTACCATTCTCATTTGGTTACCTTGTCTATATACCTCTTCATCTCGATATCCGCCTATATGATTCATTTATTGTGCACAGATTTCCGAGTAAGTCATCTGAGTTCCATTAGTCTCTTGTGGACAACTAATCCCTTACAGAGATGATCAAACCTTTCAATTTGTTCATATATACTCTTGCCCTAAAGTCATATCCAAAAGTACATTATTCTTTCCATTTTCAGGTGGATAAAGTAGTATAATCATAGTATGACCATTAGGCATAGTATTTATTGACAACCTTAAGTCTAAGGAGATGAACTGCACTATCGAATAATGAGATATTGTATCAAATGATACATGCTGTAGGGATTTTTTGTGGATTTTCTCAACGGGTTAGTTTGATACAATTTGCTCCTCTAACAAATCCATCCACAAAATTGGCATGAGATATTGTATTAAATCCATACATTTTGTAAGGCATTTTTATGCTTGCATCCATGAGGTACATGCCTTGGATCATTATGTAAATAGTCTGATGTCATGTTGGTCTAATTGAGCCAACTAATGCCCTTTCTCCATGACTCTAAACTAGGAATAAGTTTAGCGAATAATTGAATAGTGCACCCGAGTCCTCATGATTATGATCTCTGTAACACCCTGTATATACCCGGATTGTTAACATGTCATCGTATTAAGTCACGCTTAATTTAAAATGTGGAATAACGTTTTCTTTTCAATTATGACGTCATTAATATTACCAAGTTGATTACTTAATCCTTTTTCATAAAACATTGCATGTATGTAAATTGCAATTAAACATATAACTGAAATACCTCAATAAATAAATGACTGAATGTGTCTCTAGTCACAGAGCTACAACACGTAGACCAAACAGATCCTGATAGTTTATACAACTCAATTAAACTTAAACATCGTCAAATCAATGTGGCATAGACAATCCCCATACTCTCAAAATAAACATCATACTCATCAAGTCTCAATACAAACAACATGGTAATGGATAAGGCATAATCACTAAACAGGGACATCAGCAAGCATATCAATCAACTAAGCTCCAGCCTCCTGCCGCTAGAGGTCTCAACCCCTGGTTACCTGAACCTGAAATAAGTGCCCCAAACGTGGGGTGAGATCTCTAAACAAAAATCTCAATAAGGCAAGGGGTCCTCATGAATTTCTCCACCCCAAGCTCACTTACATGTGCAATAGAAGTTCTAAAAGCAATATACAATATCAGTTCCAAAATCAGTGCAATGCAACAGATAATCATGTCATGTGTGTCAAGATATTCTACTGGCCAGAGAAATGCAAGATTTATATACGTCTATTACCCACATTAGTGCAAGACGCCACTTGCACCCACCCACAGAATCATTGTATCGTATGACACCACATACTCAGGCTTACCGTCTAAATGGAACAACACATGCATATTATAAGGCTCTTGCACTTAAAAGCTCAAAAGTATTTCAATCATCAAAACATGAAAAAACATCATGCATAAAATCATTCCCTCATGGGGCATGGTGGAACCAAAAATGGCTAAACCGAGGACACGAAAGCTTACCTCTAAGCAATCAATCCAATCCAAGGTCCACACCCGCTCAAAGTCCACACACAGCACAATCACAATCTGTTTGGGACCAATAATCATATCAATATTCATACTCTACAAGCATATGACATAAAGACAACGTCTTCCTTTTACGTTTCATGTCTTTAGGCTTCTCACAAAGCCATAAGCCCTTAATCACTTAGATTATGACTTAGATTAATTATTACAGAAGTCCACATTAGCCAATCATGGGTCCACAAACCCAAAATATCATTCTGTATGAACAGTACAGTTACTGTCTCGAAATTCCCAGAATATCCGGATATATGTCGGGGCCATATCCGGATATTACCAACCCCATATCCGGATATGGATATTCGAATATCATATCCGGATATTTCGCGACAGAATGCAGTTTCTGCATTTCGCGAGATATCACTCCAAAGGTTTCGTTTTTAAGACTTCTAAACGTTAAAGCATGCATCTTTAAGTCCCTTTAGACCAGTTATCACGTTGGTTACTTGTTCATCTTATTAAACATGCCAAGGTTTCATTTTTAACTAAGAAAACTCATGGTCAAGGTTGATGAACTTACCCAAGGCTTCAAAATAGAAACAAGGTGGCTCTTGGAGCTCTCTCACCAGCCTCAAAGTTCAAAGCACACAAGGACACGAAAATGGTGATTAAAGGTTGGTTCTTTCTCACCAAAAATGACTTCTTGAAGCTCAAGAGGCCATAACAAGGGCTCCCTTAACAATGTTCAAGAACTCAGCCCCAAGACTCCTCAAAACAGAGGTCCAAACTTAGAAACAAGGCTTCCTACTCACCCCTAATGATCTCTCTCACTCATACAAGGTATTTTGGTGAAGAAAAATGGAAGAAAGGTGATTTCTTTGGTGAGTTCTCAAGCAAGGAAGAAGGTGGCAGCAAGGAGAGCTCAAGCACCAGAAAAGGAAGCACGTAGAGTTGTATTTTCTGACCTAGGATCATGTGTCAATCTTATATATAGCCTCATTAAATTTTAAACACATTGTATTAGCATTAATAGCTACGCTTAGCATTTTAATCCCAAATTTAGAATTCTGAACCTAGCCATTATTCTAAGATTTTTCATATTTTTATTTTATTTTTCGCAGCACCTTTCCGGTACGCGCTTTTACTTAGTCAGTATCAGTTCTGGCACCAGTTCTCATTATTTTGACCTGAAACTTGTTATGCTAGTCATATATATTATTCTAGTGACATATACATACTTTTCATAATTTTTCAGGATACTTCATCGGTACGCCTTTATACTGTGAGGCAGAACCGGTATCTGCACTTTTCGTCAGAAAAATGACTTTCAACATTATTAATTACTTACCATAATTATTTAAGCCTTCTCATAATTATTAGGATCAATTATGGAATTATTTCATTAATCTCATAATTAATTAATTAAATTCCTAAATTAACGGTACGGGTTCTTACAATCTCAAAAACAGATTCTCAAATGTACACCTTAATATCCCAATGACCTTTCAACCATTTAAACATATAAAAAAAGAGAGAAAATAACATGGAATAGATAAAGTATTGTTATAATATTGTTCATGAAATTAAAATGTCAAAATACATGGAGTTATCTGACTATTTAGATTGTCTCTAAGGTGGCGTTTGGTTGAGGAGAAATTTTTAGAATACTGGAGAAATAGAATTGATAGAGAAATGGTAAGAAAGTGAGATAAAGTGAGATAGATAGGAAAATGCAAAAAAAAGTAGTTTGGTTGGATAAAATTTTACCAGGAAAGTATATGAAAATTTTGAAATCCTATGTTTGGTTTTAGAAAAAATATAGATAGGTAAATGATATAAAATTACAATTTTATCCCCATACCCATGTGGAGGGCTAACAATGAGAGCCTTATCCTCCTTTTTTAGAAGGTCTTCCTCACCCAAATCATGGAGAATCGAATTCAACACCTCAGCATTGATGTTCCCAGACGCAGTAGCATCAAATCCAGAATCAACTGAACCCAAACTTGGTGAGAATCCCTTCAGAATAGACCCCAAAAAAGGCAACGTTGCAAGAGCCATAGCCAAAAACACAGACCGTGAAACAATGCGAATAAACCGTGCATCAGGAATCTTGATAACAAAAACAGTATCAGAATTCAAACTAATCCTTCCATCATGCAAATGATGCTGTTCATCTTGCTCCTATACCCACGACCCAATTCCATTTCCTACCTTTGCAGCAAAAATGGAGAAGACCCAGATGCAGAAAACTGAAGATGATTGCGAGAACGAAGAAACAATAAGCCAGCGAATCGAAAAGGTTGGAACTTTAACGAGCGCAGAACCTTGCAGCGGTGTGGTTTCCACCCATAAGAGCCACACTGTTACTTTGCTTTCAACAATAAAGGAGCATTAATTGTCTCATCCTCTCTGCCTCCATTGTGCCTCAAAGGGTATATTGGTCAAAGAAATTAAGCAAACATTGACTTAGCCGTGCTTTTGCAAAAACCCACATGCGAAAATGGATTTCTAACAGTGCCGAAAGCCGTGTTTCTCATATCCACCTCAGAAATCTATGCATTTTAGTTGTCTGGTTTTTTGTCTGAAGGAGCTTCACCAAACTTGGGGTTCGTGTAAACCTTGTGTCAAATGCCTAGGAAAATTTCAAAAAGAAGCCAGCCAAACACCACCTAAAGGTCCGTTTGAATAGACTTCTGAAAAAAGTGCTTTTTATACTTTACTTATTTCAGAAGTACTTTTTACAATTAGTAAAGCTATTTAGATATTTTATAAAATATTTGAGTTTTGAGAAAAAAAATTATCTTTTAACTTCATTTTTTTTAAGCTAAAATTTTTAGCTTAAAAAATAGGTTTTGACTTTAGGGATTTACCCTTTGAAAATCAGGATTCCCCTTATTTTATTTTATTTTTCACAACAAAAGGGAATGGTTTAATGAGGGAGAGAGACATTGAACGTGAGAGGGGTAAAGAATTACTATAATTTGAAGATTTCTAGAGATTGTCATAATTTGATGAGGTAATTAGAGTAACTGATGATTCTTGCTTCATCTCGTTCTGAAAAGAGAATTGTATTGTGTTGCTTTCACCCGCCCATTTTATCCTTATGCCCTTATCTACAATACTTAATATAGGGCTTTTCTCCATCATAGACCACATAGCATGATTAAGCAGCAAAATACGGGCCTATACCCTCGGATTCTTTTTACATTAATTAACTTATATGTTTCATTTCTATATTCAAGCATGCACCTCCATAATCCATAACCATAGTCCATAAATTTAAATAGAAGGATAAATAAATACTTGATTTTAGGGAATACAGTTAAGGTAAGATGGAAATTAAAGATGAAGATGACCTTCTTTGTCAACCTTCTTTGTCACTGTTCGGACTGGTTGACCCGAATATATATAAAAAAAATATAAATATAAACATATATAATCAATTATATTCATCACATTTAAAATGATTTAAATAAGGTTCACTAAATAAACAAAAAAATTACTCAATCACTCTTTTACAAGTTCATAAGACACAAATAAATAAACATGCACATTATTACTATGTCAATTTAAATTGTAACCCATAATACTCATAAACATATCTCCCAATGACATTCAAAAGGCCAGATGTTGTGAACTTATATTTTTTAAATTCATCTACATTGAAATGACATATCTCATTCTCTTAATTTATTGTTCCTCAAAAATTATTTCTGTATTAGAAGCTGAAATTTGATATCATTGTAAAAGAATATACTACTAGCAAAAAAAATTAAATTTTTTTTTTAATATAAATTCTATATTTTTTCTGACAAGATGAAATAATTTTGATTTTTAATTTTTTTTTATATGTAACACTGCATGATCCGTCCATGTCACCAGTTTTGGCTGAGTTTGACCGAAATACATGACCACTGCGATACTTGAACTGGTTTGATAACCAATTTATCGGATTTCCAGGGCCGAGTTTCATAAAATTACTATAAAGCCACCACCAAACATTTTGATTTTTAATTTTTTTTTATATATAACACTGCATGATCCGTCCACGTCACCAGTTTTGGCTGAGTTTGACCGAAATACATGACCACTGCGATACTTGAACTGATTTGATAACCAATTTATCGGATTTCCAGGGCCGAGTTTCATAAAATTACTATAAAACCACCACCAAACATTTTTTGATTTTTAATTTTTTTTTATATATAACACTGCATGATCCGTCCACGTCACCAGTTTTGGCTGAGTTTGACCGAAATACATGACCACTGCGATACTTGAACTGGTTTGATAACCAATTTATCGGATTTCCAGGGCCGAGTTTCATAAAATTACTATAAAGCCACCACCAAACATTTTTTGATTTTTAATTTTTTTATATATATAAAACTGCATGATCCGTCCACGTCACCAGTTTTGGCTGAGTTTGACCGAAATACATGACCACTGCGATACTTGAACTGGTTTGATAACCAATTTATCGGATTTCCAGGGCCGAGTTTCATAAAATTACTATAAAGCCACCACCAAACATCAAAAAGGATAAATACATAAAAACCCAACATTATCTGACAAAGTGATGGCTTGTACAGCACAGATCACTAAACTAATCCTTTCTTTGTTGATATAAGATACACTTCATAAATCTACGCTAGAGTAGTACACATAAGAAAGCTACTATTTAAATTATTAGCTAACTATTATGTGCATTGAAAGTTTAACTCAATATAATTAGCTCGAACAATGCACTATTAACCAATTAAACCAAGCAAATATAATTTTCCCCAAAAGCTGAAATTCTTAAAGGCAAACTCAAAATTGTAAAGATCTGATCTGATACGTACCAGATCAGATCGAACAAAGTGTTCTATATCCAACTTTTTTTCCAAAAAAGTGCTGCTGTCAGAAATTTTTACAATTTTAATATGGTTTGTTGAACTATACGTGAGTAGAAAAAGGATATAAAGAATTCATTTGTTTTCTTGCAGAATTCTAAGATATTAGAAACAATTCTGAGTTACAACCTCTGATATATGTTTTGTTAATCAAATATCGATATGGTTTACTTATTCCTTCGAGCGCCGTAAGGATTTAGATTTATAATTAACAAAACGTAATAAAATACATGAGATCATGATAAACTAAACAAACAAACAAACAAACACACACACACACACGCAAAATGCTTTGAGCTTTTTTTATATGCTGAATCTCCGTAAGTGATGATTTTTTTTGGGTGAATCTTCATTAAGATCACAATGCATATTCAGAAAGTAGCAGTTAATACTGCCTCTCCCACTACATGCCCTGCTATTGCCTCCAACAGCTTCTGCTTCGTCACCTGCCAACGTTTTTGAACGAATTAAAGCTTTTATATTTATTTTTATGATGTTGAATAGTTACTACTATTTTTTAAGGAATGGAACTTTTACAAATTTTTTTGTTATAAACTACACTATGTTCTCTCTCGGGAGACTATGTTCTCCCGAGAGAACATAGTGTAATTTGTAAAAAAATACAAAAAAAGTTTGTGAACAAATCCTTCCTCGTTCATTTGTCACATACCTTTTCTTGAAAAAAGAGCTAGACCTTCCGATTGATCAAATGACCAGGTTATCACTAGTGTACGGACATTTTGCAGTTAATTATTATATTTCTTCTTACTTTAAATAAGTAAATAAACATATTTTTTCATACCCTACTTATTATTTTATATAAGTAAATGTAACATTAAAACAAGATAAATGCATTTCTTTATATATGCACTCTATTTTTATTTTTCAAATAAATAAGTGTAACAAAAGTTTTGTGTGAACACCAACGGATAAAGGTTGATGTTGATGAAATTCGTGTAACAAAAATCAACTTGTAAGAATTATTTTCGTTGGTGTATTTGTCTGCTTATCTAGTCTATAGTCTGATAAGCAAGCATAGCTAATAATTAAAAAAGATTAAATTAGTTTTTCCTTTTTAATCGAGCTCTTGTCTTTTAAATGTTTACGCATAGCATTTTTTAACATTCCTTTTGAATAACTATAATTCCAAGAATAACAATTAATTAGTCAATTGCTGTGTAGATGTATACGCAAAAGAACCAAATTATTAGACACTATTTTTCGTGTAAAAATAATCTCTCACTAAGATATATTTCATCTCAAAGATTAAATCAGAGAAGTTAATTAAAGTCTAAAATTATTGAGTTATAATATCAAATTCAGCCTAGTTAAGTTAATACCTGGTTATCAAAGTGCATGTCATAATCCAGAGCATAGAGCTTGAACTCAAACCTATCCCCATAGTTAGGCATCTTGGGACCACGCCACACATGCACGTTCCAATCGTTAAGCCCTTCTTCAATTCTACTATACTCACCGCCCAGTTCCTCTTCCTTCCCGGAGAGCCCTTCCGGCAGTCCCTTCACGGTTACCGGAATATTCACCACCACCCAATGGGTGAACGGCACCATGCGTCCAGTTGGGTCCATGGCGTTAATGTTCTGCACCATGAAAATATTTCATGTAGTATCATCATGCATACTAAGAACTCAAATAAGTATATCACCTATTAAAATTTTAAAAATATATTCACACTACCACTTATTTATTATTAATGTCATATAAGTTTCAATTTTCAATTTTCATAAAAAAAATATAAATAAAAGTTTTTTTGTATAGCTCAATATATCCCCCGACAACCGAGATCACCGAAGTGGATTTTGCCTTTATCAAGCTTAAGGAACTCAGCTATCTACCAACTGAGTCGGGTTTTGTTGGTAACTGAAAGTTTTTACTTACCACTAATATACTCCACCCTATAAAAACATTTCCATAACGATAAGGGCGCCCCCCTCTCTATTAGATGTTAATGAAAGTAGAGCCGGCAAAACGGGCTCGGCTCGGCGGGCCGAGCCGCCGAACGAGGCGAGGCGGACTGAGTTTTTTAACCCATCTGAAAAGCGGGGCGGGGCGGGCTCATTTTTTGGCGGGTTGATAGCGGGCATAGGCGGGTCGAGGCGGGTCAGTCGTCCGATTCGCCAAACAGGGCGGGGCGGGCTGAGTTTTTCAGCCCACTTTCAAAAGCGGGCGGGGCGGGCTGAGTCATTTTTTGGCGGGTTGATGACGGGGTGGGGACGGGCCGCCCACTTTGCCACCTCTAAATGAAAGTAACAAGTCTAAATTGATGATAAATATAATTTTTCTCAAAAAATAAAGGGTTCGTTGCAAATAAGTTATCTGCAGTAAGCCCAATAAGTCCAATACGACATCGTTTTGGGATGGAAATCATGATGTTTTTGTAATTTTAATTTATTTCAAAGTTATTATAGTCTTTATAAATATAATTTTTTAATATTTCAATTCCTAAATAACGTCGTTTTAAAAGTAAATGTAAATATATCTTCAACAACTGCAGAAATATTTTTCTTGGAAAATAAATTCATGAAATTAAATTTACTTGTACTACAAGGGCCAAGCTTTTGGTTTTGGGAGGCAGGTTATGCCATTCCAACGGCGGAGATATGTCCCACTTTGTGCCTAGTCCTTCTTGTGTGCAGTATCTTGGCAGTTTTCCCCCTCCTTCTTTATCAATCGCCGGTGAAACCAATATGAATTCGTTGCTAGCCATGGATAGAAACTCTCTTTTATGGTGCAATTTGCTATGTCTTATGCAATATCTATAGCTAATTAAGCGGTGTGTTTGTAGGTTAGCTCTATTGAGTGTACATATATATGATTGTGGTGGAACAAGTGTCACGGTATAAACTAAGAGAATAGTGTGGTTTTGACACGTTTGATCCCACCTAGCGGTTCGGATTAATCTCAAAACATTGGAAAAGAAAATTGAATATTCTTGGATTTTAGGAGAAGCTGTAGAGAAGCTGCTGTTTCAAATAACCATATGGTGCAACTTTGTTCGGTAATTTATTTCTTAAACCGGTGTATAGTAAAGTTTTGAATATTATCTGATTAAAATCATGAGACCAAATATAACTTAGATAAAATTTTAAGTTTTTCGCATTAATTTTATGAAATTATTGGTTAAACATATGGCTTAGTATGAATTAATTTATATTCTATATTATATTAGTGAATTTGTACTACTTAATGACATGACCCGTAACAAGCTTAATTTGAGCCAAGAAATCTGAAAACTTAATGAAATGGGAATCGAGCTGTATATCATAAATTGTGTATGAGCTATATATATCAAAATGGCTATCTTGACGCCTGAGTTACATGATGGTGTTCTTGTCAATGAATATCATGTTTATTTGACCACCACTTCAGAGTAAGTTATATCTACCTTTACATTTTAACTCATTGTTGAAGAAACATTTTAAATTTAAAATGTTGTTGCACCAAGATAGAAACAAAGCTGTTACAGATACGATTTGACTTTAAACTCTGGTTATACTTACTTAGAATCAATTCGTTGAGATAGTTTCTCGATAAGATATTTTGTAAAGTTGCTTCCTGGAATTATGTGGGAAGTTTGTTAGTAATACTTGTATAAACATACCTCATTCAAGAGGAATAGAATGAATGAAACAGATTATTCTCCCATATTGAAATTTAACATGGTATCAGCTGTGTTTTGACCCAGGGAACCCAAAAGTCCCACATCGGTTCCTGTATCCTTTTTCTTCCCTTCGATACCTTACCTGTTTCTTTTACCCAATTCTCTTTTCCTCTATACCCAATTCAATCCCTAATTTCCCAAACTTCCAATGGAAAACTCTGACTCTCTCAACGATTCCACCTCCTTACCATCCTTTGCTTCTGTTCCACCCTCCAATATTATCATTCAGCAAGATAATTCTTCCTTCCCCATCTCCAAATGCAGATTCGGAAAATGCAAGTCCTCCTCCACCAGAAGAGACACATAACCGGATCACCTACTATGGACACTTCTAAAGCACATCATACACCTACTATTGAGGTAACTTCTCTTCCCAACCCAGACTTTCCATTCCCTGCCTCTTCTAATACTTTAGGTACGATATTTTGAAGGTCAGTTCGACCAACTAAAGGAATACCTAAGACACTCTATGAACCAGACCCGAAAGTAAAAACTAAATATCCTACTGGCAATTATGTGTCATCTCACAGACTATCTGAATCATATGCTCTAACGGTTGATCAATTATCTACTATATCCATTCCTAACCGTGTGTAGGAAATATTGGAAGATCCTAGATGGAAGAAAGCCATGAACAATGCAACTTGGGAACTCACTTCATTACCAAATGGCAAAAAAATAATTGGCTGCAAATGAGTTTTTACAGTGAAGCTAAATGCATATGGAAGCATTGAGAGATACAAAGCAAGGCTTGTAGCAAAAGGATACACACAAAAGTATGGAGTAGACTATCAAGATACATTTTCTCCATTGGCCAAACTCAATACAATCCAAATCTTAATATCCATAGCAACAAATAGAGATTGGACCTTGAAGCAATTTGATATAAAAAATGCTTTTTTGAATGTTGATTTAGAAGATGAGGTCTACATAAAGGTTCCACCAGGAGTAAAGATGACATCTTCAAAGGAGAATGTGGTGTGCAAGTTAAAAAAACGCTTTATATGGCCTTAAACAATCACCTAGAGCATGGTTTCACAGATTTTCACTAGCAATATAAAAGTTCGGGTACAAGCAACTCAGATCATACCTTATTCATAAAGCATAATAGAGGAAAAATGGCCATACTTGTTTATGTAGATGATATGGTGCTAACGGGCGATGATGTGGAAGAGATAAAGTCTTTGGAGAAAAAATTAGTTGCTGAATTCGAAATGAAAGATCTGGGCCAACTAAAATACTTTCTTGGAATAGAATTTACAAGATAAAATAAGGCTTATTTTTGTCTCAGAGGAAGTACATCTTGGATCCTTCATCTGAAACAAGTACGTTAGCATGTAAATGACACACCAATGGAGATAAATCATTCACTTGGTATTTATCCAAATTAGGTTGAGACAAACAAGGGCAGATTCCATAGGTTAGTAGGAAAACTAATCTATTTATCTCATACTAGACCAGATATTGCTTATTTTGTTAGTATTGTAAGCAGATTTATGCACTCTCTCAGTGAAGAACATTTAAAGGCAACATACTGTATCCTTAGATATCTAAAAAGGTCTATTATTATCAAAAAAATAATAGAGCTAGTATAGAAGGGGACACAGAGTCAGATTGGACTAGAGATAAAATGACTAGGCAATCAACTTCTGGATACTTTATATTAGTTGAAGGCAATCTAGTCACATGGAGAAGTAAAAAACAAAAAGTAATAGCAAGGTCCAGCGTTGAAGCAGAATATAGAGGTATGGCTTATTGCATCTGTGAACTCCTGTGGATTAAAAGTATATTGGCAGATCTGGGAATTAAATATGATAAACCAATAAATCTCTTTTGTGATAACAAAGTTGCAGTGGAAATTGCCCATAATCCGGTCCAACATGATAGGACCAAACATGTTGAGGTAGATAAACATTTTATTAAAGAAAAGTTAGATAATTAAGTCATTCAAACTCCATATGTACGTTCTGAGGACCAATTTGTAGATGTGCTAACAAAAACTATTTCAAGAAAGGTATTTGAAGAAGTAATTAGCAAGTTGAGCATGACTGATATTCATGCACCAACTTGAGGAGGAGTATTGAAGAAATATTTTAAATTTAAACTGTTGTTGCACCAAAAAAGGATAGGAGTTGTTATAGGTGGGATTTGAATTTAAATTCTAGTTATACTTACTTAGAATCAATTCGTTGAGATAGTTTTTGGATGGATATTTTGTAAAATTGCTTCCTGGAATTGTTTGTTGGCAGTACTAGTATAAACATATCTCATTCAAGAGGAATAGAATGAATGAAACAAATTATTCTCCCACATTGAATTTTAACACTCGCAAATATAAAAAATATATCATATTATCATATATATTTTTGTAGATTTTGAATTTTGTGTGAGGATTTATAAGTTAGTTGACGTAGATTCTTTTTCTGTTTAATCAACAACCTACAAATGTTAATGTTATTGAAAATAACTATTAAATACATTTGTTGAAAGTTCTTCCGTGTTGTAGCATACATGTTTAAGCGTATTTTTAAAAGAATGAAAATGACGAGATTGATCTAGAAAAAAAGGTTAGAATATAACCTTTTTTTATTTATTTTGATACCTGTAATAATTGCATAAAAGAAAGCTCATTGTTAAAACTAGGAGAACAAGGTTACCAAGCTTGAAAAGTTAATATAATTAAATTACACAAATATTGCTTCTTTCGGAGGTCCAAAGATAACGCATTTGTTTCAACTGATCAATCTTTTGTTCCCATCCCAAATATATTTATGGGAACTAATATGATACATCTTTTATTTTACGGACTAATACGAATAACTCCCAAACTAATAAGATAAGTTATTTTACTTATCTCTTTTTCTGTCGATAGATTATTCCACCTACCTTTTTTTTATCTACTTTTATCTACCACTCTAAAATGCTATTAAATCACAATCTCAACTAATCTTTATCTTTATCTTTCCTCTTCAGATTCTGATCTGATAATATTAAAAAATGATAGACAAATATAGACAGAAAAAATGATAGAATAAACTATTCCAATTTCTTTTTGTCAATTTTGTTACAAATTGACACACATAATTTAGATATTGCAAAAGTTACAAGCTCATATACAGTGAAGGGCATTGTTAGCCAATAATAATTGAATATTATCATAAGAACTTTGTAGACATATTGCTCAAATCCAAAAACATGTAACGGTAGCGATTCAGAGCACTGATTAAAAATTAAAATAGAAAACAAAAAAGGGAAAGTTAAATGAAATGGTGAAAACCATTGCCTTCTTTTTTAATTTTCGGGGCCGTCAAATGAGTAATTTTTGTTCTTTAATATCCGTTTCCCAATCCTTGTTTTTGGCACTCACTTCTTTAGGAATGAAAGAGCGTTGGCCATGACAAATAAGATGTTTTAATGGAAGAAAACAATGAAGGGGAACAAGCTGACAAGAAGATGATTTTGGATCCTGGTCTCATTATTACTTTTGATCTTTTAAAATTTCAAGCAACAAATTTTCTTCTAGCTAATCTGTAATGAGGCATAACTAAAAAACGTGTCATGAGAATTAATAATATGTGTCGTGAGAGTTGATAAAATGCTTTAGTCATTGATGCCACATTTCAAAATGGTACATAAGTCAAAGACATAGCATAGCACCCACAAAATTTATATGTTTTTACATAACATCAATATGTAGCCATAAAGACCGCTTCTCCTAGCACATGCCCTTCAACGACCTCCAACAACTTCTCCTTCGTCACCTGCAATCAATTCGCCAAATCAATTAACATCAACTTCCAAATAACTTTCCCTAAAATGTATGTATTTATGTAATAATAAACTATTTAGGCATCAAAATAAATGTATTTATGCTAATAATAAACTATGGATTCGTCTACTTAAAAAGTAAGTCCAATAAGTTCAATACGATATCATCTTTATACGAAAATTTCAAAACGACGTGCAGTAAGTGTATAAATATTTTTCTGATAAATTATTTAGGCATCGAAATATCTTATATAAGAAAGATTTTATCAGGAAGCTATCCTCGAACCACATCACAAAGGTCTTCAATCACTGATTTCGAATATGACATCTTATTAATGATCTTGTTACAGAAAGTTTGATACCATATAGTATTGAAAATATTATTATTATTTTAATTGCATAGATTGTATCATATATTTTCATATTTAATTTTTTAAATACAATGCTTCTGTTGATCAAAATTGAGTTAATATCTGCTGCTATATGTCTCAATAATATATAGCAACAAACCAACGTTTAGAATTTTGGCATTTTAAGCTCAAAGTTGTGTGATTCTTTTTATTTTTTTCCTTTGGAAAATCGAAATGATGACGCAGTTAAAAGCTTTGTTAAAGTAATCACAAAACTTCATTATATAACTATTTTTGTTAAAAACTTTGTCAACACTTTACAAATATAGTAAAGAATACACGTAAAGCAAGCGTCCAAATATTTAAACATGCAATTCACTTGGAACAAAGAAAAGACAAACATTTTCAACATGCTAATAAATGCTAATATCATTTATTAAAGTAAAGAAAACCATTAGGAATACATTAGTAGTGAAGGACGTGGATAATTTGAATAAGGTTATAAGTTCAAATATTGGTTTCATCATATCATTGCGTAAAAAAAAAAAAAAAAGAGTACCTTGTTACCAAGATGAAGCTCATCATCCAAAGCATAAAGCTCAAACTGCAACCTATGACCATGTGTGGGCAACCTAGGTCCATGCCAACCAGGAACCTTCCAATCATTGTTTCCTTCCTTAATCCCAGCATACTCACCACCCATCTGCTCCTCCTTGCCGGAAAATCCCTCCGGCAACCCCTTCACCGCCGGTGGAATGTTCACTACAACCCAATGGGTCCATGGCACAATGGGCCCATCAGGGTCCGGTGCATCAATATCCTCCACCACTAGTGCCAGGGTTTTTGTCCCCTGCGGCAGGTTGTACCATTCCAACGGTGGGGATATGTTCTTCTTTGCTCCTTGACCCTCGTCCGTGTAGTGCCTCGGTAGCCTTCCCTCGTTGCTTATCGATGGTAACACCAACCTGAATTCTTCACTGCCATCACTAGCCATAGTTACAAATTTTTATGTTTCTTTCCTAGTTTTTTTAATGTTTTGTTATGTGAAATTTTCTTTAATTATGTTTTTTGGGTTAAGCTTGGTTATTTATAGAGGTGGAGTTTTCGGAAACTATTGGATTCGAGACACGTGTGAGAGTTGGTCGTGGCGTCGAGAGAAAGTGCGAAAAGTTGTAGTGAATATGCAACATGTGTCCGAACACGTGGAGGATGGTGGAGCGTTCTAGACGAAATTGAAGGATCTAAGAAAAATCTCGAGCGTGCCAGGGTTATCTGAATTTTCATTTAAAAAAGATGCAAATCTATTTATTATCTTTGTCTTTTAAATATAAAAAAAGAAAAAAGATAGGAGGTTATATTTATTTTTTTTCATTTCTATTTTATCTAAATTTTCTTTTAATATTACAAGAAAAAATTATTTGTCATTTTAAATGATATAAAATTATGTCATCCTAAGAGAGAAATAGAAATAAAATAAATTTTTTTATTTAAAATTTAAATTAAAAAAATCACCTACTTTTTTTGCATAATTTTAATTTCTTGTGTCTATTTCTTTTTTAAAATGACATAACTTATGTCCTTTAAAAGTATAAACATCAAATCCATATTATTATATTAGAATCTTAAAAATAAAATAAAAAAATAAATGTCGATTGAAATTCTGATCAAATTATATTAGAAAAAAAGTGGATAGATAAATACGAAGAAAAGATAGGTATCATATCCCAAAATATATTACTTCGAAGCTGGCTTTTTTTATATTTCTTTTTATGTTTTTTTTTAAGGTTTTAAAAAAAGTTTGTTTTCGATCATATTGCACAATGTTTATATTTCTTTAAATGATAGATTTCTCTTGTGATTCATGTTTTTTTTTCTTTCCTTTTAATTTTTATGATTTTTGTTATTATTGCCTCTGATTGACTAAAAAATTTGATCATGACAACGAATCGTTAGAGATAGGGTTGATAAAACGAGTCAATCCGGCTCGATCCGTCCCAATCTACGTGCAATCCAATGAGCCAGGTGAAAAAAAGGAGCTAGAAAATTCAACCCAACCCGATCCGAGCCTGGTTAGGGCTGGCCCGCGATTGGCTCAAAAATATGACTCGTGGATTAGCTTTAAAAAATGGCTCGCCGGTTAGCTCGAAAATTGACTTGCTGGTTGACTCAAAAATGACTCGCGGGTTGGTTGTTTTCAGCCTATTTAAATGAATCTGTAGTGTTAGTGCACCAGCTATGTGGCTTCCATCAGCTTAGACAATACATTTGTCTTACAAAATAGTTTATAAAAAAAGCAAAATAAAAAGGGTTACAGAATGATAAGTGTTGAAGATAAGAATTAATTTGAAATGTAGTTATTATTAGATAAGAGTAATTTGTTTATTTGTTCAGATTTGTGAATATTGTTAGCTATTATTTGGTAGAAGTTGTTAAGAATACTTGTATAAATATATCTCAATTAGAGATGAGAAATACGAATGAATGAGAAACAGTTCAGGATTATTTTTTAACATGGTATCAGAGGATATTCTTTGTGCATACACACCTCAACAAAATGGATTGGCAGAGAGAAAGAATAGACAATTGTTAGAAGTCACTAGAGCTTTCTTATTTGACATGAATGTTCCCTCCCATTATTGGGGTGAGGCTGTGCTTTCTGCTGCTTATGTTTTGAACCGTACTCCATCTAGTTCCCTGAATTTTCTTACCCCTCAACAAAAACTTGAAACCTTTTTTTCCATTCCTCATGTTTTGAATCTAGAACCTAGGGTATTCGGCTGCAATGTTTTTGTTCATATCCCCAAACCTCTACGCACCAAACTTGATCCTTGTGCTAAGAGGTGTATATTTGTAGGCTACTCTGACCTCCAAAAGGGCTACAGGTGTTCTGATCCTATCACTCATAAGATGTATGTCACCCTTGAAGTCTTTTTCCATGAATCTGAAGCATATTATTCAGGGGGAGTTTTCTCTTCTTCTTCTCCGGGGGAGAAACATATTACTAGAAAAGAAGAATTCTGGTCCTCTACTTCTATCCATCTTCCTCCTAATCCTCCGTCACACCCTCTTTCAAATGAAACACCAAACCTATCTCAAATACCTGAAACTCTATCCTTGGATACATCTGAAACACACTCTGAACTTGCTGCACATGAGTCCACCTCCACCCAAAATTCTGATCAACCGATCCCACCAACAAGTGAAACCCATTCTGATCAGGTTCCCGAAACCCAAAATCCTAACAGCACATATGCTAGAAGATCAGAACGAGCAAACAAAGGCATACCAAAATCTACCTATGAACCGGATCCGAGAGTAAGAGGAAAATATCCAATCAGCAATTATGTGTCATATCATAGGTTGTCTGAATCATATGCTTTAACAATCAATCAATTATCTACTGTGCAAATTTCTAATAGTGTGCAAGAAGCATTGGAGGATCCAAAATGGAAACAGGCTATGAACACTGAAATGGAGGCACTTCAGAAAAATAAAACTTGGAGTCTGACATCTCTACCAGAAGGAAAAAAACTAGTTGGTTGTAAATAGGTCTATACTGTGAAGCTAAAGGCAGACAGAAGCATTGATAGATACAAAGCAAGACTTGTAGCAAAGGGGTTTACACAAAGGTATGGGGTAGACTATCAGGAAACTTTTGCACCTGTGGCTAAACTTAATACAATCAGAATTCTAATATCTATTGCAGCAAATAGAAACTGGCCCTTGAAACAATTTGATGTAAAGAACGCCTTTTTGAATGGTGAATTAGAGGAGGAGGTCTACATGGAGGTACCACCTGGAGTAAGGAAAACATCTTCAAACCAGAATATTGTTTGTAAATTGGAAAAGGCACTCTATGGTCTTAAACAATCACCTAGAGCATGGTTTGGTAGGTTGTCACTTGCAATGAAGAAGTTTGGGTATCAACAAAGCAACTCAGATCACACACTCTTTATAAAGAACAACAAACAAAAGGTAACCATACTTATTGTCTACGTAGATGATATGGTGTTAACTGGTGATGATTTGGAAGAAATGAAGTCTCTTGAGAAGAAATTGGCTGCTGAATTTGAGATGAAAGATCTCGGTCCTCTGAGATACTTCCTTGGAATAGAAATCTCCAGATCTGAACAAGGAACTTTTTTGTCTCAAAGAAAATACATTTTAGACCTTCTCTCAGAAACCGGGTTGTTGGGTAGCAAGCCAGCAGATGCTCCAATGGAGATGAATCACTCACTTGGTGTATATCCAGATCAGATTGAGACACATAAGGGCAGATATCAAAGGTTGGTAGGTAAGCTGATCTATTTATCACATACTAGACCTGATATTGCATATTTTGTTAGCATTGTAAGCAGATTTATGCACTCTCCTAGTGAAGAACATATGAAAGTTGTGTATCGAATTCTAAGGTATCTAAAAGGGTCTCCAGGAAAAGGATTGTTTTTTTCAAAAAATAATAGACCATGTATTGAAGGATATACAGACTTAGATTGGGCTGGTGATAAGACTACAAGGCAATCAACGTCCGGGTACTTTACCTTTGTAGAGGGAAATTTAGTCACATGGAGAAGCAAGAAACAAAAGGTGGTAGCTAGATCAAGCGCTGAAGCCGAATTCAGAGGTATTGCCTACGGTGTGTGCGAGCTGTTATGGATTAGGAACATTCTAACTGAATTGGGGATTATTTATAGTCAGCCAATGAATCTCTTTTGTGACAACAAAGCAGCTATTGAAATAGCACACAATCCAGTTCAACATGACAGAACCAAGCATGTGGAAGTGGACAGACATTTTATAAAGGAAAAGCTGGACAATCATATAATTGAGATCCCTCACATACAATCACAGGAACAACTTGCTGATGTGTTGACAAAAGCTGTTTCTGGAAAAGTCTTTGAAGAAGCTACTAACAAGTTAGGCATGATAGATATTCATGAACCAACTTGAGGGGGAGTGTTGAAGATAAGAATTAATTTGAAATGTAGTTATTATTAGTTAAGAGTAATTTGTTTATTTGTTCAGATTTGTGAATATTGTTAGCTATTATTTGGTAGAAGTTGTTAAGAATACTTGTATAAATATATCTCAATTAGAGATGAGAAATACGAATGAATGAGAAACAGTTCCAGGATTATTTTTTAACAATAAGCAAAAGCAAAATGTTCTAATTTTGAATTTTCTTCCCAACAAGGAATGTGTCTGAAGACTATGATTAACTTCCTGAACAAAAACAACAACAGTAACAAAGTTGTTGTCAACTATGAAGCCCTTTTGAATTTCAAAAAAAAAATCTAAAATAGAAAAAAACAAATCGAAGAAGAATACTAGGTTACTTTGATGATGTGAAATAAAAATCAAAGAACAGAGCTGGGAAATCAAAGAACAGAGCTAGGCAAACTTCCTAAAAAAAGATACAAACATGATGTGCGAGTGTTGCAAAAAATCGAGAAAACAAGAAGCTTTCAATGCAGGAACTAAGGTCAAGACTGAGCAGCTAAGAAGATGAAGTTAAGGGCTGACGGAGCGCGGACGGTGGTGGCTGACAGCTGTGTCTCGATTTCTGAGTGAGAGACGAACAAAAATGGCAGCGATGTAAGAAGATTAAGGACTTAAGTTTAGAGAAGGAAGAAAGACGATGATAGCATGTGTGGATTACATCCTTTTTTATATTTTGTATTTAAAAGAAAAAGATAAAAAAACTCAACTTGCGAGCTGGCTCGTTTGACTCGCACGTTGTTTCTTTTTTTTCGAACTGACTTGGGTCGAATTGACAGTTCATTTTGTCAACCTAACCCGACTCATTTTTGACAGATTACGAGCCAACTCGATGAATTTGCTCATTTTTGCCAACCTCTAGTTAGAGATAAGGTGAAGTATGACAATATATACATTCTTGATACGGCAAAAAAATATTTCAACTTTCAAGTCACAGTGAAGTAAGGATTAAAAACATAGGAAATAAGTATACCTATGATGGGCCAGACTGGCCAGCTCATTGTGGCCTTTCGGATCCCTTATGGAGCCCAACACCCACTGT